TTTCGTCATTGTGAAGCTTGAGACACCGCTTCTTGTACGCTGCAACGAGAACATGTGCAACGCTGGAAAATGTGCTTCCTTCCGGCTTCACGTAGAACTAAATTTTGGACCGCGCTAAAAACAAGGGAATTGTACATAAAATGAGCAGGGTGGGGATCCCAAACCCTACTGACCAACTCACAGAGTCTTGAATGTACACAACTAGGGTTTGATTGATCATCAGTACCAAACTAGATAAAGTGTAGTACCAATTCAAATAGCTACCCACTGATTTTCTTCCTTCTATGGTGGTCGAGTCGAATTGATCGATCCCAAAGGGAATGCTGCAGGGCCTAATTCCTCCAGTTCCTATACCCAGCCAGCATAACCCAGCAAGCAAGAAACCCGGCTGGGGTTATTGTAGCTCTGGAGACACATTGCAGACTATCATCAAGGATGCAAGGTGGAGGCCTCAGTTGTGGCACTACGGTATTGTTACCATTCCCTAATCAATGATTAATGGGTAATTAAGTAAGCTGATTATAACTATGATTAAAATAAATAAATGGTGATTAATTGGGAAGATTAAGAAAATGAGACTTTGGATGCGGTCCCTAACCATGAAAATTCTTTGACTAAAACCTTATTGACTTTTAATTTTTGATCCAAGTCCCTGAAATTAATGTGATAATTTATTTCTATGTATGTTACTATATTTTTTTAAATTAAAAATTAAAATTTATAGTTGTTTATATTAATGAGATTTTAAATAAAAAAACCATAATTTGTGGATTAAAAATATTAAAATATAAATATATTATTGTGTGTGTGTGTAAACACGGGTACATTCATCAAAATTAACCAAAAAATTATTGTACCAAAACATGGGTACATTTTTCAAAATCACCAAAAAAATATATATATTAGGCTTAATAATATTAGTAAATTTCTTCGATTAAACTTAACATGGATACATTCTCAAATCAACAAAAAAAAAAAAAAAGTACCCATATAAGTTTAAAAATAGATTAGAAAAAAATTGAGTACATTTTATATAAAAAAAAAAAAAAGGGTACATTTTACCTATAACGAATTGGTATATTTAAGAATGAGTACATTTTAAGATTAAAAATTTGAAAAAAATTACATGAATGGTACATATAATTAGCATGGGTACAAATAAATAAAAAAATATAGGTACAAATACAAATAAAACTTTATAAAATATGGGCACAAAAAGAAATTTATATATGAGTACAAATTAAAACTGAAAAGAAAATTGGACCAAATTAAAAAAGGATTGCAAATTAAAAACGGGTACAAACTAAAAATAAAAATATACGATAAAAAATTTAGCCATAAATATAAATATACTAATTGTAACATTTTTAACTTTAAATGAATATATTTAGAAATAAAAATATTTTATTATTGAAATAATTAATGATGTTATTAATACCAAGAACCTTGATCAAAAAATGAAAATGAATAAGGTTTTAATCAAAGTAGTAGCAAAAGGAAGGATGAGAATCTAATTTCTCCTTAAGAAAATGTAGTGTACCGTAAGAGTTGCTAAGGAAGCGAAAGCAATTGTGAGAAATTTGCCTAGATAAATATCAGCAATGGAGGCACCAACGATTGATAATAAACAATAGGAACATATCGAAATGTTAATTATGTTGGCAGCAGTCACCTGCTCCATGTGATACTCCCTCACCAAATACACCATTAAATTTGCTGTCATTCCAAATGTTGCCTTCATCGAAATTGATTCAGTACCTGCACTCACACAAATAAAAGTCATATATATATAATGCATAGTTCTATTTATACATTCATTTTTACTTTTCGCACACCTTATTAATTTTTTATCGTTGATTTTCTTACAATTCATTTGATTTAATAACTGAAAATTGAGAAAACGTGTGAAAAGTTAAAATATGTAATGGGAAAAATTGGTTCTTACAATTATTTTCTCCGCTTGCAATTATTTTTGAGATTTGGATTGAATAATTCAAAGAAGAATAAATAAACACACGCGTACACACACACACACCTAAGATGTGAGGCACGGACTTCCACACAGGCCTTGTTTGGTCATGGTTTTGTGGCAATAATAATGGCTCGGAGGAAGGAGAGTGGTTAACTGGTTATCATAAGAAGAAGGGGTTATTGAGGTGGGTTTGGGGGAGTAGAAGGACAAGAAAGAGCTGCTACAGCTGCTCTTCTTATCCCTCGCCATCTGTTCTCTGGTCTCTCTCTCTCTCTCTTTAGGTCTGATGTTAATTTGGAGGATGAAGGACGTTATTATATGTGTGCAGGGAGAAATTCGGCGAAGGAGAAGCCACCTACCTTGGGCATGACGGACACGTGCGCCCCATGCAACAAGGCAGGCATCTTCAGGTTTTGATACGAGGAATCCAAGCCAAACTAGGCAACTCAAGCCGAAGTATAACTTTCATAGAAAATAAAAGGAAATTAAAAATAATAAAAAAAAAAAAAAGAGGGAGAGAGAGATTGGACTCAAATTAGGCATGTTAAAAGGGTCGGGCCTGATGAGCCAGTCTGAGTTCGATTCTAATTTTTTGGATCATGGTTCGATCTGGCTAATCGTAAGATCAAATTTTATTTGGCTTGTTTTTAAATGAGCAGGTTCTACGTTTTATATATATAGGTTCTGAACTGGTTAAAATAATTCTTTTGTGTCGTTGAAAATATATTTTATATCACAAATGTACAACACTTATCACGATATTAAACAAGTGCTCTATAGTTATGGGATCCGGTAACATGAAAATTTTCTTGAGAAAGCGAGAAACGTACCTAGGATGTAAGGCATGGCTTTCCATCCAAACTTTTTTTTGGTTGTGTTTGGATCTAGTAACTGATGAAGATCTTCATCCTTTTGCTGCAACAATGGCTTCGAGGACGGAGAGTCGCATTTGCGTTTTCTAAAGCAGAGGGACAAGAAAGAGTTGCTTTTATCCCCCATCATCCTTCTTGTAATTTGGTTTCTGATTAACCGGTGGACATTGGCAAAATCTTCCATCTCTCAACTATTTATACCTCACGTCCTTGATCCATTGAGCATTCAGCCATATTTTTATCCAAACTAATCGATTTATTAACCTTTTTTCCCTGGAAAAAAAATCGATTACTTTAGCCTAGATATACAAAATTTAGGGGGTGTATTCTATTGGGATTTTAATTCTTTTAATGAATTTAGGGGTATTCAATTAGGATTTTAAATGATTTTCTGAAATTCAAGGTGTATTCAAATATAATTTTAAGAAAGTTTATTAAAATCTTTAGAAATCCGGGTGTATTCAAAGATGTTTATAACATTCCAGGTGTATTTAATTAGAAATTGATTTTAAAGAATTTGAGAAAGTTGAGAAATTATAAGGAATTGGAGAGATTTCGTAATGTATTTTAAGCATCCACAAATCCCACATCTCCCCATAAGATTTTAAGGGAATTGAATCAAAATTTTATATGGAATCTTTACAAATCAATTAAATTTCATAAAAATTCATGGATTAAATCCATTAAAGTCTCAAATTCTCAATTGAATACACCAATGTAGTATCCAGAGCCTGGATTCTACCGAATCCAACTTATGAATTAAACTAATTGTGTTTTAAGCACTCAAATTTCGAAATTTCCTAATAAGGTTATTAATAGTAACTACCTTCCTCTTAATTATTACTTATAGCATCCAAATATATTTCAAATTTAGATATGATGTTTGATCCCACTAGCCAATTTCAGAAATATTTTTTGTACGCGACCATAATTTCCAAACCGCGGGTTTAAGGGTAAATAAATTCCTAAAAACTTTATTTCATAGTCAAAACACTTAAATGTTGCATTTTGAAAGGGACAAAAAATTTAGGGGTGTGATATCCACACACCTCTTTTTACTTCTTACACATCCTTCTAATTTCGGTCGTCGAATCGGATGAATTAAAGAAAATCAACGGACATATATTAACAAAGGATGTGTGAGAAGTAAAAAGGAGTGTATGGATAGTACACCCCAAAATTTATAAACCGAATTGTTATTACATTTAGTTATTATTACACTAGATATTAAACAATTGATAAGTGAGATTTTTTCTTCTTCTATTGTTTCTCATTTGGTATAGATCATTGAATTATAATAGATAAGTTACTTTTCTAAGGTGTTGAGGGAATGAATCAATAAATTGCATCCAACTTGGAAGCAGAATATGAATTACTCATTAAGAAATCAATTCTAATCCTCTCAAAAAGATATGATTAGAAATGAAAACGACGTATAAGCATGGCACGTCGAGTGGTGTCCGGTGCACCCTCGAAAGAGAGAAGCTTCAGTCATGTATTCTCCTCAAAATGAAAATCCATTCTCATCCACTTTCAACGTTCATTGAAAATAATAACTTATACATTTTGTTCCAATCTTTTATACCAAATAAAGCGTTGCTTTTGTTAGGAGACTTTACCAACCGAACATGCATGTTTAGTTGGAATTAATCCTATAACATAAACCCCTTTTACTTGATAAATTTTTGGACAGGAGCTTCCACGCCCAAGCACTAAGACACACCACAAGGGGGGACGTTTTGAATTCAAGTTCCACGTGAAAGCATTTTAATCAACACAAACGTATGAGATTTTCTTGTATCTATCTCATATACACGAACGGTATAACATCAAAATCTTTAACTAATAAAAGCTATTTTCACATAATTAGTAACGTCATATAACAAACCTTCGATTTCAAAAGAGAATCTCTCATTAAAAAAAAAAAAAAAAAAGACCTCCTCTTAACCTCATCCAACGTGCATTAATTAACGATTAAAACTCGAGCTAATAACACACACACTCTCTCTCTCTCTCTCTCTCTCTCTCTCAAATGTCCACATTGCGCGCCCAAATATCTGCCACAGTAATCAGCAAACAATTGTATTTATTATAAAAAATGGAAAACTTACTCTAAAAATTTAAATTCGTACATCATCAGCTTATTTCGCATCCTTTCGCATTAATGTCCGTTTACGCTTTTCGGTGGTTTTGTTCGTTGCTTCACTCGCCTTCCCTCCTTTTTTCCATTTCTCCACCTTACCCTCCAACTGTTCGTTGAAATGCCTAAGCCATGCTCTCCTACACCACCGCCACGACCCACCTCCTCCCGCCGCCCCGCTCCTCCCCAAACTTCATCCCTCGCGCCTCTCTCTCTATTCTTTTCGTCGTCAATTCAAGAGCCATAGCCAGGCAGCGGCGGCGGCTTCACCCGATGAGCGGGTTTTCTTTGATTGTAGGGTTTTCTGAGTCAAGAAAACGGTACGATTACAGTGGGTTGTATTGTGGGTGTTCTGGGTTTGCGAGGCGGTGCAAAGATTGGGATGGCGAGGGGGATGATTTCAACTTGGAAGCTGAGATTCTGGAGTTCATGAAGAGCTCCAAGAAGCCCGGGGCCGTTTCCCAGCAAGAAGGAGCTGCTGGAAGCTGGGAGAGAAGATTTGGTCGATGCTATCGCGAAGAAAGGCGGTTGGCTTTCGTTGGGTTGGGATTTGGAAGAAGAAGAGAGAGCTCAAGAAAGCAACTTTAAGAATTGGGATTTGACAATGGCGAAAGAATTCGACAGTGGTGCCTCCAGCAGCAGTCAAATTGGGGTTTCCGGCGTGGGTTCTTCCATTCTTGATGATTCTTCTCAAGTAGCCTCGTCGTCTGGTAGATCATCACTGTGAGGATTCTGTTATAATTGAAACTGGTTGATGTTTTTAGATTTGTTATATTCCATGGTATAATTGTTCTATTTGTTTTCTCTGTCTTTAATTTGGAAAGAGACGTGCAAAATGTTTGTATCTTTGGACCAAGAGATTGACTTAGAACCACTTCAAATGGTAAAATTTTTATTGAATAAGTGCACCATAGGTTGTGTGGATGAGAATTATTATCCAAAATAAAAGGTGATGACAAGATATTCGTTATTTGTTGATGCTCTATTTCAACAATTGAATCAATGAATAGTTTTTTAGGAAGGGGAATCAACTCAAATGTTCGCTTTGTGTAGAGAAGCTGCTACAACAGAGGACAATACTGGCGTTGTAGGTATATTGAATCGATTGGAGAAGCAGAGAAATTTAGCACTTGCGTTTGCTTTGGGAGAGAAAGAAGGCAGTGCTTCCTCCGCTGATGTGGTAAGTTGGTTTTAAGTTATTTTGAATTGATTGTCTTTTGGTGGGATGATATTGTAGGGGCAAGCATTATGTAAAGTCCTGAAATTTTCTCTAGTTTTCAGTTTAGATGTACTTCTATATTCCGTTATGGTGGTAAGATGATGATAGATATTTGAGAGTCGAATTGCATTTGGTATATTTCTTTAGGATTTGGTAATATATAAACAAAATAAATTTTATATTTATCAGCATGCGTTAATGAAACCTTAACTATAGTTTGGCCTTTTCACTGTCAATTTCATTTGCAGCTTGAAAGGGGATAACTTTTATGCGGGCAGTCACCATTACAGCATCTGCGTGAAAATAATTTTTTTTAAGAGTTTGATGTGATTGTTTCCTTTGCATGTAGAAATTCTATAACATAACGTGATGCTTGTTACATTATAAAAGACAGTTGCTGGCCTTGTTAGAAGCAGCAGACCTGCATCATTAAACCCCACCAAAGCCATTCTTAACGATTCAAGAGACAGGCCTAACCACAGCAGTTCTCTTTCAAACAATGGTGTGCTAACAGACTCACCCAGACCTGACACGTGGAGAACTTGGAGCACCCATAGGGCTGGAGCTTCGAATCTTGATTTTGAAGGTATTTTATAGTTAATTGTTTTCACTTTTAAGTAGCTTTATGATTAAATGGCTTGGTTCAAGTAACCTTTGATTGTTAATGAAATGTATGTAATGTACAGCCGATGAATTTTCATATGATAAAATGGGACTATCAAAGGATGGTTCAAGAGATGAAATATTTCATGAACCTTATCAAGGGATTAAATTGGATCCTGATAAGAAAGGGATCGATCACAAGCAAATATGTTGTCGGATTAAGCACCTTGAATCAGAGCTCTCCTCGGCACTCCGCTCATTGAGGTCTAAAGCTGATGATGCTGCAACACAGAAGGTGGGGATGATCAGTCCTCGTTATGTAAATTTGTATGAAAATTTGAAAGTTTTTACTCCAAAATTTTAACAATAAATTCACTTTCGTTTTCTTTGCCGAGCAGCATTCTCATGCTGTGATAATGTTTTGGAGGATTTGGGGCATCATATTAAACTCGTCTATATTTTTCATCAGGGTCATGAAAGCTCCTCTGAAGATGTGCAGAAGCTTTCAGATACCTTAGAGTTTCAGGAAAATGAGATTATGCATGCCCAGGACAAGTTGCGGTCAACACGTGCAAAGTTGGCTGTTTTGGAAGGAAAGATGGCAATGGCAATAATGTATGCACAATTTATTTTAGTTTAAAAACAAGACTATAAGTTACTTTACCATTGACATCTTACCCAACCATACCAGTGAAGCGCAAAGGATTGTGGAGGAGAAACAAAAGAGGATTAATGATGCTCGTAGGACCTTACAACTTCTTCGTACTGCTTGCATAGTTTGGCCGAATTCAGCCTCAGAAGTTCTCATAGCTGGATCATATGATGGTTGGACGACCCAGGTCTGATCTTCCCTTGAATTTATCAGTTAGGTTAGGCTCAAGTAATATTAGTGGATCCATGTTTTCGTCCACTCGTTCATTTATTTTCTTACTTAGCTTTTATTATTAGATGGGGAAATACTTTAAAAGATTGATAAGTAATATTACCATGTGCATATATTTTTTTGTTTTATGAGGTATTTATACATGCATTTACCCGCATTTTCAGAAATATTAGTACTACTTGCTTTTGTAATACAAATGTTGTTACCTGTGGTGGTTGCTTGCAGAGAAAGATGGAGAAGTTGCGTACAGGAATCTTCTCTTTGTGCCTTAAATTGTATCCGGGCAGATACGAGGCGAGTAAATTGTGTTATATGTGGTCGAGTCTTTACAACGTTAGAACCCCGTCGATTAATGTTTTTTCATCTTGTATTTCAGATCAAGTTCATTGTCGATGGTAAATGGCGGATTGATCCCCTACGCCCAATTGTTCGCAACAACGGATACGAAAATAACGTCCTGATCATAACATAACACACTCAACGGAAGCCCCCCAGCAAGCGTAAGAGGATATTCATCGAGAACAAGCAGCAATTCTTCCCCAGATTCAACATATAGGCAGTAGATTTTAACTCGTGATTCTTTTCAGTCATGATTCATACGTAACATGGTGTCGTTTTTCCTTTTTCATGTAAAACCCGAATTTTGAATTGTGATAAGTAATTCAATGAGGAGTTTTCCAGGAAACTTTCTGCTTTTCTATCTCGACAATCACTCTGCGGCGTTTCTTGTTTCGAAAGTAAAGTTCGTTGCTTAATTAGGTAGTAAAACTAAAATTCTTTTTTCGTATTAGAAATGATTGTCCAAATAATACAACCCTGTATAACATATACTTACACAACATGAACTAGGTCAAGCTCGGGTAAATGGTATTGTTAATCTGTCTGAGAACAGCGACGTGAAGTTCTTACGACAATTGTAAACCCGCTACCGCAGTAAATCTCGATTGTGTCAGCTTCTTTCCGAAATTTGTGGTCGAAACTCACTTCTTGAGGACTCGTTTGGTCATCTGTATTTCCCAAGCCAAGCTGACCATGTTCACCCCAACCCCATGTCTTAATCACTCCATCCTCGGTCACAATAGCAGAGTGCTCAGCTCCAGCTGCAACGTGCACAATTCTACTCCCTTCGAGGTCGGGGACTTTCTCCAGGACAACTTCCCTCGGATCTGTCAAATGTGCAAAGAATCACACACGCAATCAGCAGTGATCGCAATTCTAGTACAAATGTACGATGATCATTCAGATGTGTCAAGTTTCTGCGAGTGTTGATTGGGTCGGATCAAAGGCATTACCTGCTAAGTGCTTTATTGGAGTAATTTTTTCGGGATTACTAAGAACTCCATGGTGATTTCCACCAAGCATAAAAACTTCTCCACCTGTTGAAAATATATTCGAGGCTGCTACATAAGGACACTATCTTTTCACCAGGTAAAAGGAAGCAAAAAACAAATAAACGGAACTCGTTATGGCATGAAATGAATGCCCATACCCGTCAATACTAAAGAATGATTCCATCCGACAGCAACTTTGGTAAACAAGAACGATGTAGATAAACGCTGTGGGGAGTGAGCACTTAAGATGTCACCGAACCCTCTTCCCCAAGTGTACAAATGCCCATCAGCTAATGTCATAGGCAAGAAAAGAAAACAGCAATCAGAAAACTAAATTACTGAGGCGAATAGCGTTCAATTGGACAGTGGCTGGCATGGAAAGTTCTTAGCTCTTACATCGACTGGAAGATTTCAAAGCTCGGCATCCATGATAGAAGCAATATCATCTGTTTTATATGACCAAATCAAGAAAGAGTAAGTTTGTTGGCCTCACCAGATAACGCTGCACTTTGATCTCCATTTGCAGCAATGCTAGTGATTTTTAAGCTGTCAAATCCATGAATTCGTTCAGGAATATTAACTAATTTGATCTTATCCTCGGAGATACCCAGTTGACCACACTTCCCCGAACCAAACCCATAAACTTCATCTCCTGAAACACCTGCTATATACTTGATTTGAGAAACATCATACACTTGAACTAATAGGCCAAATATTGAATAAATGGAATTCCTTCATGTTGTAATACAAAAACGCAAAGCTTTAAGCATGTCGTAAAGCATATACATCATATAAATCAGCATCTCTACCTTAAAGCTCGGGTCAAGAGAAATATACAAGATCAACCTTACAGATTACCTTTCACCAAAACAAGCGAATGGCGCATCCCGCATGCTATCTGCTCCACGTTCTTATCAACAAAGAAGGAGACTTTGACAGGATAGCAATGCGACTGGAAATCACCATGCCCGAGCTGGCCAAACGAGCCATCTCCGCACGTGAAAAGATCCCCTGCATCTGAAAACAAGCGAGAAAATTCCGAGAACCAGAAATAAGTTAAGAAGCCCCGGCACTTCAAGTTGCCACCAAGTTAAACACAATGCAGCAAAAGAAGAAATATTCGACTATTGGGCAAAATCTAACTTGGTTTTCGATTCTCGACGGATACAAACATGCGTAAAATTATCAGAGATTCACTAACGCATTCCACCACAGAATGTAAAATATCAACTGCCTGAGAGCGGATGTCGGCATAGCCACATTGGTTAGAGGAAACGTGCTTCCCCTATGCACCCGAGTTCTACATGGACTATATTAGTTTAAAGTAGAATACCTGAAACAAAACCGGAGTGGTTCCAACCAGCAGAAACATGAGTAATGAAGAGGTTGTTCAAAGACATTACAAACTTAGGATTTGGACTGTTGACCGTTTCAGGATGACCCAGTTGACCAGACGTGCCCCTTCCCCATGTCAGCACCTTCCCACCTGAAACGGATGTTTGTTTTTTCTAAGAAGAAGAAAAATTGTAAGTTTTATGGTATTCGGTGAAGGAAAGGATGAGACCTGAGGTTAAGGCGAGAACGTGAGCGCCGCCGCAGGCGAGGGAGCAGATGGATCCGGCGGCGGGGGAGAGAGAAGGGAGGCGAAGCAGCTGAGGGAGGTGCTCGTCCTGTAGCCTGCCCGTGCCCAGTTGCCCGTCCGTTCCTGCCCCCCAACTCCATATCTGTTGCTCGCTGCTTCCTTCTTCGTCGTGCATTGCTACTCTGCTTTCTTCACTCTCTTTCATTTCTACGGTGCCCCCTGATACTCTTCCTTCTCAATAACTTCTGCTTTCTGTGATTCTATTAAATTTCTCATCGTTTGGGCTCTTTGGGCTCCGACTGAAGGATCTTGGGCTTGGATAGACCCGTAAAAGTGTGTTTAATTTTAAATAAAAAAATAAATAAATGATTTCTAATTGGAAGATGTTATGTTAAGATGTGAGGAAGGATCCCAATATTTGGATCCGGATGGGACCCCACTATTTGCTCGGTTTCGGGTTCCGGATGAGGAGGCAGGGGACGGAGGCGTTTGGACCCGGAGTAGTGGGCGTGGTGGGAGAAGTAGGGTTTATCTCCCTTCCGGCTCATGGTGTTGTTTCGTTTAGATGTTCGGGTGGACAGTTCAGTTTCCGGGTTGTTGTTGCGATATAGTGATGTGTGAGTTCGGAGTTTGACCGTCCATGTGGGTTGACTATTGGTGCTACTGACCACAATTATAATGACTACAACTCTAATAAAATTTTTAAGTTTCAGAAATACAGCATTATAATACAATCAGTTAGATTTTTATTTTTAAATTTACAATTAATTATATATTACAATTAGTGTACTGATCAGTGTTTCGGCACACTAAAAAAGTCCTCCAACAATACCTTATATCAATATATCATGGGTTGTATCACATACACACACGGTTTTGGTGATATTTTATCCGTAAGAAAATGAAGTAGTTTTTGTAATATTGTATTTTGTAAGAAAAATGAAAAACAACCAACTATTTCTTTTGATCTGTTGTAGTTTGTAACAAGAGTGTGCATGAAAAATCAACTCTACGGAATGGGGATCAGTTCTTATAATGCAAGAAATGTGTATAATTTTTATTCATTTGTTTTTTTTAACAAACGATATTATCTACACTAAAACAGTGATGATCATTATTACTTTTTTTATCGTAGCGAGGGAGAGAGAATGGAGTTCTTCACGAAGTTCGAGACAAATTAATGAAAAAGAGTTTCTCTATGACCTCCTTGTTTTGAGTCAAATTCATATTTAACGAAAACCGACCTTCAAACCTCTTACTAATACCTGAAGAGGAATACAGTAATACCAAGTGGCATATAACATTACCTAAAAATGGAAGGGGATGCAATAACTAAGTCAACTCCGATTGTCTTTGTTGAGAGAAAATTGGACCAATTTATTTGTTGCTTTCCCACCCCTCAGTGCATAACTTTTGACTCCATCGGAACCTCGTTAATTCCTCCACGCTTGTTACCTTGTGCCGTTCAACCCCCGATGCTCATCTCAAAACCTTGGCCAATTCCGGAAATTTCACTATAAAAACCCAAACTTTAAATAAAACCACCCTACAATTTCCACCCACTTTCTGATATTCTGATGGGTGTCTATAAATCCCTGCCTGGACGCAGTAAAATCCTCACTCAAAGAGCTTAACTCCCCAACAGAAACCCCCTAAAACCTTGCCTCAATTCGAAAGCCACAATCTTTTGGGTTCTATCAGTTGAACTCTGCAGCAATGGCTGCATCTCTGTCAGCATCCCCATCGCCATTGACGTCATTTTTGTCTCTCAGAAAAACCCACTTCGTATTTTCACCAAAAAATTGCCGCCCAATCATTAACCGCAACAAACAATCCCCTTTCTAGCCCCAATGCAGACTTTAAGTTTCAAACTTTGCCCAAATCAAATCCCTTTTTAGCAATTTTCACCCCTCGCTCGCGCTGCAACGGGAGTTTCCTCACGTGGGTTTCCTGAAACAGACGAGGAAGATGAGCTTTTGCCGTTGTTTAAGGAGCGGCCGGTCAAATTTGCCTTCTGGGTTTTGATCTGGGCATCTGTGTCGCTTGCCTGGTTCGCGGCTTCCGGGGATGCAAATGCTGCGGCTGCGGCGGCGGCTGATTCCATTAGAGCCTCCAACTTTGGCTTGAAGATTGCGACGGTGCTTCGAAGCTCCGGCTGGCCTGATGAGGCTGTGGTGTTTGCTCTTGCCACACTTCCGGTCATTGAGCTTCGTGGGGCTATTCCTGTTGGTTACTGGTTGCAACTTAAGCCTGTTCTGCTAACAGTTCTATCTGTTCTTGGGTTAGTCTTTTTTCTCTACTATAGCCAATCAGCACTTTTTAAATTCTACATGAGTTTTGTTGGGATTTGTTTCACCAATGTTGTTTAACAAGTTACGATGTTGCCTTTAATGATTGCTTCGTATCTGTTTGATAGAATCTGCCTGCTTATGGTGCATTTAGTATTTTGTACTCGATGAAGAATGTAAAACGTCCCACATCGGTAAATTGACAGATTGAAAGACAGAACATAGTGAATGGTTCCACTGCTATCGGTGTTATTACAAGTGGGCCGCTAGAATGTCTGTCTGAAATCCTGACATTCGTAATGTCTATTGCCCTTTGCCCATTCAATCAAAAGGGTGCTTCAAGTTTTAGCATTTTACCTTTCTGCACTAGCGATGGCATTGTGGTGTCCAATGTGATAGTTTTGTGATCTATAAGTTTTTCATTAAAATTCACGAAGTAAGGGAGTCTGGGAATTGACTGAGTTTGGGACTATGTATATGTAGGAACATGGTTCCTGTGCCCTTCATCATACTTTACTTGAAGAGGTTTGCATCGTTCCTTGCTGGAAAGAACAAGGCCGCAGCTCAGTTCCTTGACTTGCTATTTGTGAGGGCTAAAGAGAAGGCTGGCCCCGTAGAGGAGTTCCAGTGGATTGGTCTGATGCTTTTTGTGGCTGTGCCTTTCCCCGGAACAGGAGCATGGACAGGGGCCTTCATAGCTTCGATTCTCGACATGCCATTCTGGTCAGCATTGTCTGCAAATTTCTTTGGTGTTGTACTGGCCGGGCTTCTGGTAAATTTGCTGGTGAACCTTGGCCTCAAATATGCAATTGTTACTGGTATTGTCCTCTTCTTTATTTCCACAGTTCATGTGGACCATCCTTCGCATTCTTAAGAAGTCCTTTCGCTCATGAAACTGACATTGAAATTTTAAATTTTAACTGATGGTTGAGTTTTTGAGATTGTGTACAGTATCTATCCACTTGCTACATGTCTGTTTTCTCAAATTTTCAATGCATAATTTGACTCAATACTCAACATGCTGTCGAAGATCTATGAATGCTTTGCAATGATGTGAATATGGAAAATGAAGGAATGTGTGACGACTCTTGAATATTTAGTTTAGCGGTCATAAACCCTAATAACCTTGTACTTTGTTACTAATATGATCTGTTCAGTTGTGGTTCGGGGCAATTAAAGCAAATGTATCGGAACTGAGTTGCTGTGATCTATGATATGCTTGCCTTTGGGTTAAGTTTTGTCTTGCCTTGTCATTTGATGAATTATGCTTGTTAAACACAATGATTGGGAACATATGGGATAGGGTTTAGTCGTCGATCTAAATCTATCCTCTCCGCTTGTCTAAATCTATTTCCCAAGCATTGCTAAAGAATGAAACATTCTAGCATTGGAGGGAATTTTTCCTACTCATTGATTTTGTACAATCATGTGCATATCTCTCTCATCATGGCAAGCGAGATAGACGCATGCTTGTATATAATCGGTAACACCTGAGAATCTCTCAAGGAGTTGGAAGTTGAGCATTCTGGGACCGAAGGGGATGGCGAGGTGTCAACTAGTTCGTATTGGGCTTTAGCATTGGATTGCTTTTGCTTGATGATTTGTAGGCATCTCAAGTGGCCCAAAGTAGGGTTGAAGGGCAAATCTGACTGCTCATATAAGCTTACACTATTTCCATAACTGCAGACTTGCACTATTTCTGTAACTGCACATTGTAACCAATCGTAAAACTGCAGACTTGCACTGTTTTATGGAATCACAAACGTGCAAGCATACATCTTATAATAATTTGGAAGTAGAAGCTCCAAGGTTAAACTAATAATAGGTAAAAATTAAGCACATTTTTGTAACAGCATAGATCACTATTCTTAGACTCGTTTGGAAGTGTTTAAAATGACTAAAAGCTTTTGACGAAAATATTTTTGAAATCAATCATCAGTAAAAATCCAAGTGGATCCTGCAAAAGTACTTTAAGTGCTTATTGAAAGAAGCATGTATCTAGTGCTTCTTTCAAAAAACACTTAAATGCTTTCGAATCCAAAATCTATTTTAAAAGCACTCCCAAACGAACCATATATTAGTTCATTTCATGTTGTGTTTATATTAGAATCAACATAAGAAACTGCAATTGATTTTCTTGTCCAATTTCGAGTGTAAGATGCAGTATTCATATTGAGTTTCAATCCTAAACAAAATAGAACGATCATCATCTTTTCTAGTAGATTTTTACGTACCAATTTGAACATTATAACCGGGTTTAAATCTTATTATCATACTCACATTCTAACGTATATACCCAACAATTCATCACACAAAATATGTATCTTCTGAAATGAGTTGTGGTATCTACAAATTCTCTCACATTCAAGTTCAAATTCTCACTAGATATGCAATGTCGTAATCGATAAAACTTAAGCAAAATGTACATGATATAATTTTCTATGATTAAGTCAAATTCTAATTCCTTGAAATTGATCCTCAAGAATGATAATTGATTGTAACTGGTGAGGAAGCTGGTGCCCTCTTTTCTTTCTTTCTTGGAGCCTGTTAGCCACACATATTAAGTTAGAGCAAACTTTTGGAACTCAAACTAATATTTATATAATATTCATTTGTCGGACTCAAATGGCGCATATAAAAGTTGATAATTACCTCTCAAAAGCAAAAGTTTGGATCAAATTAGGTCAAATTTCTGGTCTTATTGATTGCAACCAACCATTTACTATCCACAAATAGCTTTTGTGAGTTAGTGGCAGTCAGTCGCAAATTATTTCTTAAATGCACCAATGCAACAACAGATTACAGTGCTTTGGAATTAAAAGATCAAGTGATAGAAATTCAAACCTGATTAGAGCAAGGACATCTGTGCTTCAGTTGAATTTTGTGGACCAAATACTTGTAATTACGCTTGTGCAAGTAGTTATAACCATCCACATATATAGAGGACTTAAAGAGAAGGGATC